TCAAGGACGATCACAATGTCTGGCAATCTCGTCATATATTTGATCCCGCCGAGATACCTTTGCAAGGTAGATAATTTTCTCTTCAAGATTGCCACATCTCTTTTTGGGAGATGGTGGAATTTTCCCATTTTTTTCTTCTGCTCTTAAGTCTCTAAATTGAGTTCCATTCGGAATCCAAAACCTTGATGACACCACACCTATATTACTATCCATTATGAAGGTAGTAATATAGTCTAGGATATGTTTATGTTACTAGTGTATGTTACTCTCCATTGTGGCTAGTCTTAGAGTGGCTGGAGCGTTGGGGGTTTACTACCGCTGTGCAATGGTGGCTGCTAGGATTCAACCAGATAATTTCTTTCCTAGAGAAATCAGCTGTCTAGGCCAGCCGTTCGATCTGGCACTGGTGCCCGTTCGATCACAGCAAACGCAGTCCGTCGTCTTTTTCATCCACCTCGCGCATCATTGACCATCTACGTAGTGGCATCTGTGCCGGCGAACTCAAAATTATGTTCAAATTTGTCACTTCATGGTCCATGTGTTTGGCAAAAAAAGTACTTGAGAAAGCCTAATGTCATTGACACAACCAAACTTTTGGCATTCGAAGAAGTATAAGAGGGTTTCTCAATATGCTCGATTCCATCGATTGCATGCACTAGATATTGCAGAACTGTTGGTAGCAGGTGGTTGATAGATTTGTAAGGGCAATACCAAGGTCATAACGGAGAGACCACAATCATGCTAGAAGCAGTGGCATCACAAGACCTGTGGATTTGTCACTCTTTCTTTGACATGCCAGGGTCTCACAATGATATTATGTGCTTCAACAATCTTCGTTATCTGCAAAACTTTGTCATGTGTAGCCTTCAAAGTGCAACTATACCACTAGTGGGCACAACTACCAATAGTGTCTATCCTCATTGGCCGATGACCGACTATCTCCGAGCCAAAGGGTAACATGAAAAGTCTCTTTATCCAAATGCATGAAGGTTCTAGAAAGGCTGTGGAAAGGGCATTTGGAGTGTCAAATCTCCTCAGGCTATTGTTCGTGGACCTGCAAATATGTGGGATCTCTATAAATTGTGAAAGGTGATAACTTGTTGTGTGATCATGAAAAATATAATTGTGGAGGATGAGGATGATGGTGTCCGTAATGTTGATTTTAAAAACCATGGCCCACATGTCCACCTCCTAGAACAAGAGGCAAACTAGGTTGCACATTTTCTTGAGATTGCATCGCTAACTTCCAGATTGAGAAATGCATCAACAACACCTAAATGATCTTGTGGAGCATTTGTAGATACAACATGGAAACCAATAGATTGGTTGTATCCTTCGATTTTTTTGCTTATGTTTGAACTATGTCCTCTAAATAGTATTTATGTTTTAAGTATGTATGGATTTCTAATTTTGTACTATGTATTTACACGTTTAAACTATGTCTTTCAAGTGTTCAAGTTGGTTGAAGAAAAAATGAGCAAAAATGCAGACCATGCAAATGGGGAGGCAGAATAGGGGATGTCATTGGGCGTTGGTTTTTCATGGACAAATGAGCCATGCCCGCTGACATGAAATATGGGATCTCATTTGATGTTAAACTTATCTAAATTTGACCAAGTTTACTAAGAAACATAATGATCACATCTACAATATCAAATCTGGTATCATTAGATAAATCACTAAACGAGATTTCATATTTTATTGGTGTTATAGATGTTGATATATTTCTTAATAAATTGGGCAAACAGAGAAATATTTAACTTCAAAAAAAGTTGATACACCTTATATTTAGTAAAAGAGGGGGGTGCTAGGGCTTAGATGGTTTAAAATACATGGAATATCTAAATGGGCATGTTCCCCCATTAGTCTTTTCCACTCCTTGTCGTGGGAATGAATCTGACGGTAAAGGAGGGGTAGGATGGAGGAGCATGGTCTAGCTACAGTAGTGTGACAGAAGAGATTTATGAGTTCATGCCCCTCTCGAAAGAGCTAAAGACCTACGTCTCGAGCTGCTGGAGCTATTTTTTTATGTCTGGATAATTACCAAGGATTGTGAACCCCTCAACAAGTGCTACAGGGTGGCTTATATAGAGTGAACCCTTGAGCTAGCCCTTTACATGGAGGAATTGATTATTATGTTGATTACAGGCATTACTACAAGTAACTGAAGGTTTAATCACTAATAACGCTAGGCATCATGTTCTTCGGTCGCTTCAGGTCCCGCGTGGTCTCTTCGTCTCCCTTAGCCGAGTGCAGGTGGGGTATTCGAGTGACTGCGATGCGGCCGACAGGAGTAAGGCTTGGTGAGCACCTGAGTGCACCCGTAGCCTAGTCGCCTTCTTGTCTGTTGATATGGGGCCCTAGATTTAGTCCAGGATGTCTGCTCCTTGATCCTACCTGTAGTAGGTGACTCATGTTAAACACCGTACATGTACATTTGATGTAACAACCTCTCCCTAGTCTGTAGGCACGTCCTTCTGTTACGGCTTGCATGCACCTGTGTGTGCCTCTGCTAGCACTGCACTCTCTTCCTCTCTCTTCTACTTATGTAGCAGTTCAGATCAGATGTAACAGAAGAGATATATGAGAGAGTTGACCCATCTATCTTGGTTACCAGAGCCATGTCCGGCACAATGGCTAGCACCGCACTGGCAATGTCTTCGCCTACCCTCCCTCCCGCCTCCTCCGACACCTCGCCGGCGCTTCACTCCACTGCCGCCGGCGCCATCACTTCCTTCGCCCCTCCCATGGTTTCTCTTCCTCCCCTCACAATTCACAATTGCAACATATCCTCCTACATCCGCTTCTTCCTTGACCCTGCCCAAAACAATTACCACCGATGGAGGATGATCTTCCGGTATATTGCAGCCAAGTATAATGGGATCGCTCACATCGACAAGAGCGCCAACCCCGACACCACCGATCCAGAATGGCGCCGGGCGGACATCTCCGTCCTCCTGTGGTTTCATACCACTGTGGTCGACACCCTCCTCGACGTCGTCATGCCCGATGACGCCACCGCCCTCGACATCTGCACGCGCATCGAGCGCTACTTCCTTGCCAACCGCGCCTCTCGCGGGATCCATCTCCGTCGGCAGTTCAACAACCAACAGCAGGGCAACATGTCCATCACCGAGTACACTCGCCGACTTAAGACCCTTGCCACTGCCATCGGCGACTGTGGTAAGCGCCTGTCCGATGATGATCTCACCACGCAGTTTCTTCATGGCCTTGCCAAGCCATTCCACGCCATCGGCGACAACATCGGCGACACGGTGCCCCTCCCCGACTTCGAGACCGCCGTCTCTCGGCTCTCTGCAGCGAAGGAGAAGATGCAGCAATGGGCCTTGCTTGAGGGCACCTCGGCCCTTCTCATCCATGGTGGACTAGGCGAGTCCTCTTCCTCGACTAGTGCTCGCAGCATCAACCCCTCCGGTGGTGCTTGCGGAGTCCCCGGCGACTCCTCTGGACATGGCGGCCCTGATTCCTCTGCTGGTTCCGTGTCTTGCGGCGGCCAAGGCGGCTGTGGGCAAGGCACCGACGGCTATGGGCGTGGCCGCGGCCGAGGGCGCGGTCGCGGCGAC